AACTGGAGTTGCAGATAGCTGTGAGCTACTATGTTTGTGTTGGGAATCAAATCCTACCACCCTTGAAGAACAGCCAGTGCTCTTAATTACCAACCTATCTCCCTAAGTCTTGTAGCAGATATCAATTCTTCTCAAATTATCTTCTCAAATTATTCTATAAATTAGAAAACCTTTTTCGAAAGCTAGCATCACATTGATAGCAAAGCCAGAGAGATACATAATAAAGAAGAAATTTATATGCTGCGGGCGCTGGTACTTGCTTTTAATTATGCCAGGACTTGGAAGGCAGAGATAGGTACATCTCTGAGAGTGAGGCTTGCCTGGTCTACAAAGTGAGTTCAGGACAGCCAGGCCTCTATTACACCTCTATTACAAAGAGAATGTCTCTCTTGAAAAATCACACTTTTTTTTTTTTAAAAAAAATAGATTTTGTATCTTCATGAACATAGGAAAGTAATTACAGTAAAACACTTTTTAAAAAATTAGATATTTTCTCTTCATTTACATTTCAAATATTATCCCCTTTCCTGGTTTTTCCCCATCCCAACTCAAAGACAACCTATCCCCCTGCTTGTACCAGGATGCTCCCCCAACCACCCACCTACTCCCACACACCACCCTGGGATTCCCCTACAGTGGTCCATCGAGCCTTTGCAATACCAATGTCCTCTTTTACCATTAATGCTTAACAAGGCCATCCTCTGCTACATATGCAGCTAGAGCCGTGGTTCCCTCAATGTGTACTTTGGTTGGTGGTTTAGTCCCTGGGAGCTCTGTGGGGTCTGGTTGGTTGACATTGTTGTTCTTCCTATGGGGTTGCAAACCCTTCCAGCTGCTTCAGTCCTTTCTCTAACTCCTCCATTGGGGACCCTGAACTGAGTCCTATAGTTGGCTGAGATCACCCGACTCTGTATTTGTCAGGCTCTGGAAGCGCCTCTCAGGAGACAGCTTTATCAGGCTCCTGTCAGTATGCACTCCTTGGCATCCACAGTATTGTCTGAGTTTGGTGACTGTGTTTGGGATCGATCACCAAATGGGGCTGACTCTGGGTGGCCTTTCTTTCAGTCTCTGCTTCACATATTGTCTCCATATTTCCTCCCATGAGTTTTTTGCTTCCTCCTTTTAGAAGGACCAAAGCACCCACACTTTGGTCTTCCTTCTTCTTGAGCTTCATGTGATCTGTGAATTGTATTTTGATTATTCCAAGCTTTTGGGCTAATATCCACTTATTAGTGAGTACACACCATGTGTGTTCTTTTGTGATTGGGTTATCTTATTCAAGATGATATTTTCCAGTTCCATCCATTTGCCTAAGAATTTCATGAAGTCATTCTTTTTAATAGCTGAGTAGTATTCCATTGTGTGAATGTACCACATTTTCTGTATCCATTCCTCTGTTGAAGGACATCTGAGTTCTTTCCAGCTTCTGGTTATTATAAATAAGTCTGCTATAACATAGTGGAGCTTGTGTCCTTACTAAATGTTGGAGCATCTTTTGGATATATGCCCAGGAGTGGTATAGCTGGATCCTCTGGTAATACTAGTTCCCATTTTCTGAGGAACAACCAGATGGATTTTCAGAGTGGTTGTACCAACTTGCAATCCCACCAGCAGAGGAGGAGTGTTCTTTCTCCACATCCTGGCTAGCATCTGCTGTCACCCGAGTTTTTGATCTTAGCCATTCTGATTGGTGTGAGGTAGAATCTCAGGGTTGTTTTGATTTGCATGTCTTTAGGTGCTTCTCTGCCATTCGATATTCCTCAGTTGACAGTTCTTTGTTTAGTTCTGTACCCCATTTTTAATTGGGTTGTTTGAGTCTTGCAAGTCTAACTTCTTGAGTTTTTTGTATATATTGGATATTAGCTCTCTATCAGATGGAGGATTGGTAAAGATCTTTCCCCAGTCCCTTGGTTGCTGTTTTGTCTTATTGTCCATGTCCTCTGCCTTACAGAAGCTTTGCTATTTTATGAGGTCCCATTTGTCTATTGTTGATCTTAGAGCATAAGTAATTGGTATTCTGTTCAGGAACTCTCCCCCTGTGCCCATGTGTTCAAGGCTCTTCCTCACTTTCTCATCTATTAGTTTTAGTAGATTTGGGTTTATGTGGAGTTCCTTGATCCACTTGGATTTGAGGTTGGTAAGGGGGAGACAAGAGTGGATCAATTTGCATTCTTCCACATGCTGACAGCTAGTGAAACAAGCACCATTTGTTGAAAATGGTGTCTTTTTTCCACTGGACAGTTTTAGTTCCTTTGTTAAAGATCAAGTGACCATAGGTTTGTTGGTTCATTTTTGGGTCTTCAATTCTATGCCACTGATCTATCTGTTTCTCTCTGTACCAATACCATACAGTTTTTCTCACTATTGCTCTGTAGTACAGCTTGAGGTCAGGGATCATGATTCCCCCAGAACTTCTTTTATTGTTGAGAATAGTTTTTGCTATTCTGTTTTTTTAAATTATTATTTCAAATGAATTTGCAAGTTGCTCTTTCTAACTCTGTGAAGAATCAAGTTGGAATTTTGATGGGGATTGCATTGAATCTGTTGATTGCTTTAGGTAAGATGATCATTTTTACCATATTAATCCTGCCAATCCATGAGCATGAGAAATCTTTCCATCTTCTGAGATCTTTAATTTTTTTTTCTTCAGAGAATTGAAGTTCTTGTCATAGAGATCTCCCACTTGCTTGGTTAGATTCTCAGCAAGGTATTTTATATTCTTTGTGACTATTGTGAAGGGTGTCATTTCCCTAATTTCTTTCTCAGCTTGTTTATCCTTTGAGTAGAGGAAGGCTACTTATTTCTTTGATTTAACTTTATATTCAGTCACTTTGCTGAAGTTGTTTATCATCTGAGGAAGTTCTGTGGAATTTTGGGGGTCACTTAAGTACACTATCATATCATCTGAAAATAGTGATATTTTGACTTTTTCCTTTCTAATTTGTATCCCTTTAACCTCCTTTTGTTGTGTAGTTGCTCTAGCTAGGACTTCAAATACTATTTTGAATAGGCAGGGAGAGATTGGGCAGCCTTGTCTAGTCACTGATTGCAGTAGTATTGCTTCAAGTTTTCCTCCATTTAGTTTCATATTGGCTACTGGTTTGCTCTATATTGCTTTTACTATGTTTAGGTATGGACCTTGCATTCCTGATCTTTCCAAGAATTTTACCATGAAGAGATGTTGAACTTTGTCAAATGCTTTCTCCACATCTAATGAGATGATAATGTGGATTTTTCTTAGAGTTTGTTTATATAGTGGATTATGTGGATGGATTTCAGTATAATGAACCATCCCTGCATCCCTGGCATGAAGTCTACTTGATTATGGTGGATGATTTTTTTCATGTGTTCTTGGATTTATTGAGTAATTTTGCCTCATATTCATAGGAAAATTGGTCTGAGATTCTCTTTCATTTTTGAGTCTTTGTGTGGTTTAGGTATAAGCATAATTGTGTCTTCACAGAATGAATTGGGTAGTGTTCCTTCTGTTTCTATTTTGTGAAATATTTAGTTTAAAGAGTATTGGTATTAGGTCTTCATTGAAGGTCTGATAGAATTCTGCACTAAAACCATCTAGTCCTGAGCTTTGTTTGGTTGGGAGACTTTTAATATCTGCTACTATTTTTTACGGGTTGTGGGACTGTTTAGATGGTTTATCTGATCCTGATTTAACTTTGGTACCTGGTATCTATCTAGAAAATTACCGATTTCATCCGGATATTCCAGTTTTGTTGAGTATAGGGTTTTGTATTTGGTTCTTAAGACTTTTTGGATTTCTTTGGTTTCTGTTGTGGTGTCTCCATTTTCATTTTTGATTTTGTTAATTTGGATATTGTCTGTGTCCCCTCTGGTTAGTCTGGCTAAGGGTTTATCTTTCTTGTCGATTTTTTCAAAGAACCAGTTCCTGGTTTTGTTGATTCTTTAGTTCTTTTTGTTTCTACTTAGTTGATTTCAGCCTTGAGTTTATTATTTCTACTTGTCTTGGGTGTATTTGCTTCTTTTTGTTCTAGGGCTTTCAGATGTGCTTTCAAGCTACTCATGCATGCTATCTCCAGTTTCTTTTTGTAGGCACTCAGAGCTATGAGTTTTCCTCTGAGCACTGCTTTCATTTTGACCCATAAGTTTTGGTATGTTGTCCCTTCATTTTTCTTAAATTCTAAAAAATCTTTAACTTTTTCCTTTACTTCTTCGTTGACAAAATATCATTGAGTAGAGCATTGTTCAGCTTCCATGTGTATGTGGGCTTTCAGGTTTTTTTTTTTTCATTATTGAAGACCAGTCTTTGTCCATGGTGATCTGATAGGATGCATGGGATTATTTCAATCTTCTTGTATCTGTTGAGGTCTTTTTTGTGACCAGTTATATGGTCAGTTTTGGAGAAGGTATCATGAGTTGTTGAGAAGAAGGTATATTCTTTTGTTTTAGGATGAAATGCTGTATAGATATGTGTTAAATCCATTTGGTTCATAACTTCTGTAAGTTTCACTGTATATCTGTTTATTTACTTTTTCCATGATCTGTCCACAGAAAAGTGAATACAGAGTCAGACAGAGTAGTTACTTCGGCACATTTGATATCATCTTAGTTCAAAGAGTGGTTTTATATACTGACAAAAACTTGATTTTTCCAGTTGACATTTGGCAGTGAGTTATAAAATAAGGTACTATGTTCACAACAATTTGGTATGTAGCTCATTTGCAGTGACCTGATATAGAATAATCTTTGTGAAAGCTTACATCAAATACATAGAAATTAGATTTCTTAAACACAAATGTATGGAAACCATGACAAATTTGTGAAATGCCTTGACTTTAGATGCAAAATGTTTTTTTTTTTTTGACACAAATTTGCTGTACTGAATGTGGAATTTACAAAATATTCAACAAGTAAACTTTACATAAAAAACTTGAATCTGTTCATTATGTAATTAATAGAGGAAATAAATCTTTTTGGAGTCCAGTTGTCAAAGTAATAAAACATGTTAATGATCCAAGTGGAAGAACTCCGAAATTTGGATTTCATTGCAATTTAAATCACTAACATAAAAGTAATAGTGAATACAAGAGGAGGACTAAAAATACAGCATATATTTCAACATGAAAAAAAGGATTAGGTTGATACGATTACCTAGAGGAATAATAGCCCCTGGCACCAAATGTCGAATTATAACTTTGAATGTATGTGTTCAGACAGGGAAGGACAACCAATCTTCAAAAGTGTTGTTTAATTTGAGAAGTACAGGAACTAGGTGTCAAGAAGGTTTTTTTTTTCTCCCAGTATATGTATTGTCCCTGATATAATGAAGTGAGTTCCTTTCTGGTCTTAATAATATGATGTAGCACTTGGGGACAAAGATGATGCCTAAGAGCGATGCACTGGAAGCCAAGATAGAGAAGACTTCCATAGCCACCATGATCTTCCCCTTGGTGCTGTGGTAGACAGGGAGGAAGGTGATCCAGACACTGCAGAAGACCAGCATGCTGAAAGCCAGGAACTTGGCTTCATTGAATGTGTCAGGTAGATTTCTGGACAAGAAAGCCATAAAGTAGCTCCCTAGGGCCAGTGCTCCCAAGTATCCCAGGATGCAATGGAAAGCAATAGCTGAGCCTTTGTTGCAAATGATGATGATGTGTCCATGTTCTGAGTGAGCATCTTTATCAATAAATGGAGGAGATGTCATCAGCCAAATTCCAGACAGAAAAACTTGGAGCAGGGTGCATAAGGGAATAATGAAATTAGGGGCCCTTGACATCAGCAGCCATCTTCCAACTCTTCCTGGAGCAGTGATCCTGAAGGCTATAACTACAGTGATAGTTTTGGCCAACACAGTAGAAAGAGCCACAGTGAAGAGAAGTCCAAAAGTGTTCTGCTGCAGGACACAGGTGGCTGTGCTAGGACGGCCAATGAAGAGCAAGGGACAGAGGAAACAGAGGGTCAGAGTGATGAGCAGGGTGTAACTGAGAGCCAGGTTATTGGCCTTGACAATGGGGGTGTCTCTGTTCTTCAGAAACACCCCAAGAACAATAGCTGTGAGTGAGGAGAATCCCAGGGACATGAAGCTGAGTGTCTTCCCCAAGGTGTCATCATAGGCCAGAAATGTCACAGTTTTCTGTAAGCAGTGGATCTTGTCTGTGTTAGCATAGTGAGTTTCTGGACACTTCACACACTGCTCCATATCTGGTAGAAATGCAAGTGATCGTGAGTGCATACTCTACTTTCCCATTTTATTCTAAGCTATTTCCCAGCTCCCACACACTGCACTGTTACCAGAACAATCTTGCTTTGTTTTTGATACACGTATAAAACACTTTTAAGATAATATTTCTAAAGTCAGTTTTCCTTGTACTTCATGATGATATGACTTAAGCACAACAAATGCTTCATTTTTCTCTTGCTACACATGTGGTATCCTTGCCTTTAGTGACATATTTTTATTGGTTTTTGAAGTCATTAGAGCACTGATATACATTGCACGAATCTAATTTGGCTCTGACATTGCCTCTTTTTAGATACTGTATAGTCTTTTTTATTGGATGCTTTCTTTCTTTATATTTCAAATTTTATCCCCTTTCTTGGTCCCTCCAACCCCCTGGAAGTCTCCTCTCCTGTCTCCCTTCTACTGCTTCTATGAGGGTGTTCCCCCAGCATCCACCCACCCACTCCAGCCTCTGGGCCCTCAAATTCCCCTATTCTGGGATATTGAGCCTTCACAGGACCAAGGCCTCCCCTTCCATCGATGTCCAACAAGGCCTTCCTCTGCTACATATGCATCTGGAGCCATGGGTCTCTCCATGTGTGCTCCTTGGTTAGTGGTTTAGTCCCTGGGAGCTCTGGGGGCTCTGGTTGATTGATATTATTGTTCTTCCTATGGGGTTGCAAAACCCTTCAGCTATTCTGTACTTTTTCTCTCCTCCTTTGGGGACTCCGTTGGGGACCCTGTGCTCAGTCCTAATCTGCCTCAGAATTTATCAGGCTCTGGCAGAACCTCTCAAGTGGCTATTCAATCCTGTCTCTTCTTAAGAGGGCATGGGACTTCAGTGTGATGAAATGTCCTTTGAAATCCAAATCTTATACTGATGTGTCAAAATGTAAAATATCC